TAGGTCTTTTAGTTGTTTGATGTGTAATACTTCTGATAGTGTTATGATGTGGCTTCTGAATACTGTTCTGATTTTATGTTGTTTACATATTCATTGTATATTTTCAGAGAAAGACCTCTGATAAAATGAAATATGGCTGTATGTCTGTAATTTTTTCCTGCATATTCTCAGTTTTTAACTTTTTTAAAATTTTATTCTGTATCAAATGTTCTGGGTATCCATTGTTAAAGAGGGTTGTAGTGATGTGTTTATATTCCATCTTATTTGGTATTACAAACCTTGTTCATTCTAGAAACTAGGCAGTCTATAATACCTGTGTCTACACTGTTGAGGTGGTTTCACTTATAGTCAAAGTATTTACCTGTATCTGTGGGTTTCCTATAAATTCCTGTGGTATGAGTTATGTGTTGGGTAACCAAAATGTCAACAAATGGGAGATTGTTATCTTATTATATTTCTATTGTGAATAGTATTGCAGGGTGTTGGCTGTTCATGAATTCTGAGTCTTATCAGAAGTGTGTAGCCATTATACAAAAGTATTATAAATATAACTGAGCCAAATCTTGGGATACAGAGTACCTTGTTTGAAGTAATTAATTTGAATTGAGTAGTGGTGAGCTCAGAGTTAGACCTCATTGTATTGGTAGTATTTACCTTCATATTCAAAATAGGTTGTGAATTTTATTACTGTTTTTTATTACTCCACCCCTAATACCTTTGATATTCATTGAAATTAATAAAATTGAGAATGTTGTATTGTTCATAACGTTTGTACCTAGTCCTGGCCAGGCACAGGTTTACTAACTGTTTTTTTGAAAGTGATAAAATTTGTATTCTAGTGGTTTCAAAGTTTTATTTTGGATTTCTCTTGTTATATTTTAATAAAGTATTGTTACGACATCGAGGTCACGTGACTAGTATCACGTCACGTCATTCTCGAACTTTCCTTAAATCTCGTGATCTTTCTAGATATAGTGTAGTCTTGTATATATAAGACCGGCCACGAAGCGATGGGGAGGTAATGAGTAATTGAATGTATGCGGACAAAATATTGTTGGCCACTTGAGATGCGAGTTATAGCGTTGTTATAGAGCGACTGTTGAAATTAAGTGTATCGTAAAGTTGTATTTGGAAAGAATAAACTAGTTTTATTTAAGAAAGGAATTGTGTCGCTAAAGTTTCGTCGGAACGAATTTACGGAAAATTAATGAACGAATGGAGACGTAACAGTATTCTTTGTTTGACCCTGCTTTTAGCAGTGTTTTGTATAGACCGTTACAATAACAAGGCAGAGTTTTGAAATGAACAAAAGTGTGAGCCTTAATAACATCTGATCAAGTTTGAAAATAAATTTCTAATAAAATGGCTTTGACTTTCATGGGATACAAAGACTTCATTTTCTTGAAGTTTGTTAACCAATAAGGCTCTAAAAACTGAAACCCGAAAATTAGAGCATATTCAGTTTCAGTAAACATGTTAAAGCTATAATGCTAACTCTACATGGCTCTAAACTTTAAAATCAAATCTGGTAATGTAAGTGTTGATCTATGTAGTTATCTTGATCTTTCTAACTAGCTTTGGTGATAAAGAAATACTAAAATTATGTTTACCTTTCCATGATCTGAGATTGAACCCACCACCCTTAAAATATACACATGCAATAATCATTACAAGATGAAAGTCTATTGAAAAAGGCATGACAATTAGATCACACTTGGTTCTAAGTTAATACCGTATACCTCTCCAATATAGTTGTAGTCTAGTTTCTGAAAACACTTTTGGTTTTAATGTATAGAATAAATTCTAGCATTCGTTTTTTTTAGACCAAGCAAAAAAAAACAAACAACTAGGTGCATTAATTCACGACCATGGTTGGAACAGTAAAAGCATAATCAGGTGCTATGGTCGTGAATAAGTGATGTACTTGTGAAACGTATAATTGTCTTGTTTTTTAATTATGGAGTTTCACCAAGTAACAATGGTTTCAAATATCAATATTAATATCTATTACAATATCAGTTACCTACCACTTTATACTTTTCTTCAGTAGTTTGGGCTTCTTTTTCAAGGTTCTTACACCTGTAAAATGATTAATCATATATATATATATGCAAATGTAGTGAGTTTTAGAAATTGAACAAAATCTTTTAACATTTAATGGTAGTCATCTAGTTATAAGTTATAATTTGCAAATTTCAAAACCATCAGTTTGTAAACTAGTCTATTACCAAAATCATCAAGAAAATAAGCCAAACTATTTGCATTTAAACATAGTTATATTAAGGTTAAAAACAGAACAAAATCTCTGTGTAAAGCAGTAGAAACCAAGTAATCTTATGATTAAAAAACATTCCAAGTACTCTAGATAGCTCAAGACTTTGAAGTAAGGGACATTAATTAACTTTTAATATATTATTTCTAATGCTCCTGTGTTTATAGATATCAAGTTGGTAGGCTTACATGAATGTATGGAATTAAAGTTACTTAGTAGTTATCTAAAACATTATGTAAAAAAGTTCATATGTATGTCTGTTTACAAGATAGGCTTACATGAATAGATGAAATTAAAGTTACTTAGTAGTTATCTAAAACATGTAAAAAGGTTTATATGTATGTCTGTTTACAAGGTAGGCTTACATGAATAGATGGAATTAAAGTTACTTAGTAGTTATCTAAAACATTATGTAAAAATGTTTATATGTATGTCTGTTTACAAGGTAGACTTACATGAATAGATGGAATTAAAGTTACTTAGTAGTTATCTAAAACATGTAAAAAGGTTTATATGTATGTCTGTTTACAAGGTAGACTTACATGAATATATGGAATTAAAGTTACTTAGTAGTTATCTAAAACATTATGTAAAAACGTTTATATGTATGTTTGCTTACAACTAGCAAACCACTGAACCAATTGTCACCAAATGACCAGATCTGACCACCCTAAGACCCCTTATGTCTTTCCCATGCAGTGAATCAGTTGGCAATAATTAAGAGCTCGGTGACTAACTCAATATAATAAATTACTATTAAACATAGATTACACTGATTAGTGTCATGTAAAATAACTGATTAATTGAAATTACAATTATATTGATTAACATCATAAAAATCATTAAGTAATTGAAGTTAGTGATTCTAACTATTCCAAATATCCAAGTCATCAAAATATTGCTGTTATGATTTCTCATTATTTTTTATTAATTGAAGATTGTTCAGCTTAATCAGTTAGTGTTAAGACTCATGAAAGTAATTGACTAAATGAAATTAATGTTTCTGATTATCATTATTTTCAATTATTACAGCCATCCAAGTAATTGAAATATTAGCTATTACTCCTTCTGTTGGCATAAGTCATGCAATGATATGAATTTCTTCTGCTTGTAGACAACTCACAGGTGTGAGGGTGTGGCCTAGTGATGCCTGTTGCTCATGTTTGCTTTGTATGTCTAAATAATAATGTAGCTTTACTTTAATATATTGCTGTATTATTAAAAGCTAGAAACATAACCAGTATTATGTGGAGCAAAAGTGCCTTAATAAAAAAGTTACAGCAAATTCATATTCATTATTTTTTTATCAAATAACAAAATGTAGTTCTGATACATTCCATTTCAACGTGACTTTATATTGGCTGTGGTTGTCATGCAACTTACTGATTTAAAAATGTTTTAATATAACATGTTCAACCTTTCATAATTATGGGAACTGTTACATGAATGGTTGGTTTACAGACTAAAGACATGTAAAGAATGTTGATCACTAATCCAAAGAATCCTTAGGTCCCTGATGAGTGTTTTCTGACATACGTAAAACCCTTAGTCTCTCTGGTTCTCCAGATATTTTTATTTTCCAAAGATTCTTCATCTTTCCCAGTTGATGTGATTTGATCAGTCAATATGTTTGGCAATGGCTGATTTATTGGTTTTCCTTACACTGGAAATATAATTATGTTCCTTGAAAAGTTCTAGATGTCTGTGTGTGTGTGTCTGTTTCAATAACGGACAAAACCACACAAACTCAAGGTTTTACAAGTACCTTCATTTTTTGTGAGATAATTAGAAAGTTACTTTACATGGATTAAAAGAATTGTAGAACTGGCCATTTAAAAAATTTGAATACAGGATCTTCAATGAATCTTTTGGGTTTTATATATTTTTTTATAGAAGAAATGGAAATGTGATCCTGTACCATGGTTGTGATGCTGTTTCTCTGCAAGTTTGTGTGCTTTTGTAGGTTATATAATGATGAGAGCTGGAGTTAAGTTGTGAGAAGAAATTCTTAATTGATTCAACATCACATTGTTACCTGAGAAACAGTTCTAAAGACACAGACCTTGAGTTGATGACATTTCATTTCCCACTACAACCTTTCTATATTATCCAAACACTACACACTTATCTACAACTGTTATACACTATTCTCTATATACCAAACAACACCTCTCTCTGTTAATATCCCCCTACAAAAACCACACCATTGATCATCAGTTAACACTTCATGATCCTAATGCATGCATCATTAACTTGTTCTGAAGTTTCCCCAAAATATTTCACCCATTAACATTTTCCAAATCTTCTGCTAATGTATAGGGAGAATAATAATGTACTAGTCTCCTAGTAATATACTGGTACTACAGTCTCTCTACATTACCCAAAACCTAGATATACACTATATCTCCCACTATTATGTCACAAACTCTCTAATATAATGGTACTACAGTCTCTCTACATTACCCAAAACCTACATATACACTATATCTCCCACTATTATGTCACAAACTCTCTAATATAATGGTACTACAGTCTCTCTACATTACCCAAAACCTACATATACACTATATCTCCCACTATTATGTCACAAACTCTCTAATATAATGGTACTACAGTCTCTCTACATTACCCAAAATCTACATATACACTATATCTCCCACTATCATGTCACAAACTCTCTAATATAATGGTACTACAGTCTCTCTACATTACCCAAAACCTACATATACACTATATCTCTCACTATTATGTCACAAACTCTCTAATATAATGGTACTACAGTCTCTCTACATTACCCAAAACCTACATATACACTATATCTCTCACTATTATGTCACAAACTCTCTAATATAATGGTACTACAGTCTCTTTACATTACCCAAAACCTACATATACACTATATCTCTCACTATTATGTCACAAACTCTCTAATATAATGGTATTACAGTCTCTCTACATTACCCAAAACCTACATATACACTATATCTCCCACTATTATGTCACAAACTCTCTATGATATCCAACAACTATCTCCCTACCTACCACTATTACAATAATGTCATATTTGTTACCAAACTACATCTCTATCTCTTACTAACATGCTACAGTCTCTCTCTGTATTACTCAACAACTACAGTTACACCAATATTTCCCCTACTATTATGCCACAGGCCCTCTACATACTAAAAATTATACCCATTCACCCACTGATAAGATGATTTTCTCTTACATTACCCAATAGCTACAATACAATCTTGTCTTCCACTATTCTCTATATACCAAACAACACCTCTCTCTGTTCATATCCCTCTACAAAAATCACACCATTGATCATCAGTTAATAGCTCATGATCTTAATGCGTGCAACATGAACTTGCTCTGAAGTTCTCCCAAAACATTTCACCCATTTAAATTTTCCAAATCCTCTGTTAATGTATGGGGAGATGTACAATGTGTTCCCCATTCCAGAATTACATTTTTGATTGTCATAATCTTGAAGCAGCTAAAAATGAGATTTCACGACATAAATTTCTTAAGGCATATAGACTTTTGCATGGACATTTTAACATTTGATATTTAACAAGAAAACGTTCACTCACCTAACTGATGCAGCTGCATCATTTTGCTGCTGTGCTAAAGTCTCTCGAGATACTGCTGCAACTTGAACATTTGTTACTTGCTCAAGTCCATCTTCAAGTAACTTTTTCAAGTACTACAAAAGTTTGTTAAATTGTTTTTCAAATGTGGTATTTTGGGTTGATAAAAACATGTCTTACTAGCAGTGATACCTAATGAGTTAACTACCACATAAAGATGTGTCCTTGAAATAGGAAGTTCTGTTAGATTTACAGATTAGGTTCTCAAAGTTAAGAATCCATTTATTATTTGCATCAGATTAATTCAAGTTTTATGTCCTTCCACTTGTGCAAGCATATAGGATTCAGCAGTAAGTGGTTAGCTACTAGAAAAAAACAAGCTAGAAGAAATATATGTTCATTATAAGTAATCAAGGAATGTTTAGTAATGTGTTGCAGTTGCACTAATGACTTTACATTTGTTAGGTAGGGTTGAGAATGAAATGTCATTGAAGACCCAAGAAAATCTTATGATCACCAGTCTGAGAAAGACAACAAAAGTTCTAACTTTCTACAATGAAAATGTATTTCCAATAAGTACTTACTTACTTACTTCTTCTCACATACATAGCTATTCTCATTCAGTGCTGTCCTCTATATGCAGAATAATTTTAATGCATGCCAAAGCCTTCTATCTCCCCTCCATTGGAATTGACTGATTCCATCTCTCATACAAATCATCAAGTGTCAACCCTCCACCAATAAGAGTGTGACACACTCTCATGACGCACATGACTCCCTCTATTCAATTCTACCAAACTATCACTTCGAGTTTTGGCAGAAGATGGAAGCACTGGTTTCCAGTAGAGCAGAAGGGTGGGAAGTGTGAGAAGAGGTAAGTACCTATCAGAAATACATTTTCAGTGTAGGGAAATTATAAATGCTGATAAGGAACATTACCCCTTCTCACATAAATAGGTAGAATCCCATGTTGAATAGGTGGAGGAACCTGTGCAAGGAAAAGAATGAAGTGTTCTTCAAAAGCATCCAAAGGACACTCCCTAAGATGAGACAGTCAGATTCTACGATCTGATGTGGGGAACTGCACCACTTCTGAAAAAGGTATACTCTTTGCCCATGGTAGAAAGATGTTGCATATATGGGCAGAAAACTGAGGAACAGAACTATGGCCAGAAAGTGATCCAAACCATGCAATATTTATGAAACTCAATCCCAAAAATTATAAATATGGGTAAATTGAAAAGGATATGCCCCTAGGTATAGAGTGGCTTGGGTGTAATGGACTGTACATGGCAAATCCAAAACCCATGCTGCTGGGAACTGACATCCACACTGAGTGGTCATAAGTAAATAGACACCTAAGTTTTCATCATTTAACTGATTTATGCTAACTAATTTGTGTTCACAGAGCACTATATAAATGAAAATGGTCCGCACACTAATTATCTTGTGCTACAACATCCCTAGAACTCAAGGTTCTCTCGAATTGTCACATTTTGTTAGAGGAAGGATAGTTGGTCAAGCAGATGGTGGAATAAGTCAGCAGCAAATTTTGCAGAATTTGGGAATCCCGCTTTCGATAGTCAACAGAATCATCGTTCAGTTCAGGAAACACAGCAAGGAAACAACTGAGCACCGTCCGGGTCATCCTGGTCCATCGGAGAGGACAAAAAGGGTTGTCAAGAGAAGCATCGAAATGGATCCCAGATTAACGACTGCAGAAGTGGCCAAAGTTGGTGGGATGAGCCTGAAATCTGTTCAACGGTTATTGTTGCAGAGCAGCCAGACGGAAGCCCTTATTAAGACCTGCCAACATAGTCAGACGAAAGAAGTGGGCAAGTGATATGATGACCAAGCCTCTGGACTTTTGGAAGACCATATTGTTCTCTGATGAATCAAGATTCGCTCAATTTTTGGACAGTGGAAGGATATGGGTCTGGAGAATGCCTCACCAAGAGTTTTGGCTCAACAGATTGCAGCCAACTGTGAAGCATGGTGGTTTCAGAGTGATGGTTTGGGGAGCTGTTTGGGTTGGTGGGAGATTGAGCTTAGTGGAGTGCGATGGCAACATAAATGTTGCAAAATACGTCGAAATATTGGAGGAAGGACTCTTGCCACTTTATTCATCGGGTTTCGTGGACAAGAACACAACGTTGTTCCAGGAAGATGGAGCACAGTGTAACACTGCTAGAAACACCCAAAAGTGGCAGAAAGAAAATGGTATCCAGAAGTTGCCCTGGCCGAGCCAATCTCCTGACATGAACCCCATCGAGAACCTCTGGGCCATACTCGACCGGCAAGTCAAGAAACAACC